CTTTGCGTTTAGCTGAGCATCATTTAAAACTCAGTTCTGGGCCATATCCTTTTGCTGTCTGGACAAAGCGCTCGACAAGTGCTTGTATAATTGAGTTAAATTAAAAAAATAAAGCCTGTAAAGTTGTTTGCAGAATATATTATTGTGACAAATTGTCGAAAACAAGAGAAAAAATGGGAATACAAAAAAAGAAAAGAGACAAACTAAAATACAAAAAAAAAAATTACAAATAAAAAACGTGGCAACGAGTGAAGGCCTTCTAAAAATCCTTGCTCTCATGCCACGCGCTGCACTCGCTCCGCCTCGGCTGGGGGCAGTCATGGCTCGTGGATTTGAATAATTGTGCAGCAGCGTGTAACGGCACATGCAGCAGAGTATATTGCATTACGGCTGCTCTCCAGCTTCTTGCTCTGTGTGTGTGTGTGTGTGAGTGTGTGAGTGTGTGTGTGAGCGGACTGCAGGTATGTGTGCGTATTTGTTTGTGAACTTATGCTCATATGTGCGCTAAATTTTGTATTGTTATATGCACAACAAACACACACTCACACAGACACTCACACACATATGCATATACATATATTCATTTCGATTTGTTGTTGCCACAAAGCATTTGTTGTTCAAATTAAAAATGATTTAGATGCCAGCAAATTGAGTTCACTTCGGAATTCGTTTTTATTTCTGCTGGCGTGTTGTTTAATTGTTTGATATTTTCACACACACACATTCACAGATAGACACACAAATATTCACACATAGATACGCAAATATGGAGACAGTTTTATTTTAATCAAGCCTTGTCATTGTTTTATTATGGTTTTTGTTTCGTCTAGCCAGCTGTAGAACATGCAATTTCATGCTTTTGTGCAGTTTTACTTTATTCAAATTGTAGATTCACAAAGAAAAGGCAAGCTTCAAATAAAGAGGCAAAACGTGTTTGCTGTTGCCAGCAATACATTTATCTGAATGCTAATTGTTGTCATCGTATGCCAACGCCTGAATGTATGCTACACAGTTTTTTAAAGAACGACTTTAGTGAAATTTGTGTAGCTTCTTTGAAGCAATTTCGTTTACTTTAAATGACCTCATGAAAGAGTGAAATTCAACCCACACAAAATGGAATTTGTGGAATGCGCACACACACACACACACACACACAAACTTAAGCACCGGATGTGCCATTTTGGAATGCCACAAGAAAATGGATAACGGAAGAAAAAAGGGTCATGTTGACCACAAGCTGGCTACAAACGTGTTCCTAATAGCAATAACTCTTGCATTCCCCCAAGTAAGCGTAGCTGCTCTTCTTAGCTCAGGGCAAGTGTGAGTACGTAAAGGCGAAAGTGTTTTTGGGAACGTCGCCTTTGCGCTGTTAATTTTATCAGTTTTAGCGCTTCGTACTTAGGCTTCACTGGGCAAATTCATTTGAAGCAAAGTTTGCGTCATAAAACTCGCATATTGCCAGCTTCTTTTTTATGGTTTGTCTCTTGCCTCCATGTCTCCAGCTCAAGCCACCCAGCAATTGCCGAGCAATTGAATCCATTCGCAACGGTTCCGCCCAGCTATTTCATAATCAAATACATAACTTTATTAATGCCCCGCTGCGTGGCACACAACGAAAAAAATAGGAGAAGTTTCGTCCGAAAATGTTGCTTAGATTGCCGAAGCAATAAATTTTCCATTGTCTTAGGCGCGGGCCAACCATAAGGGATGCCCCCAATGCTATTTGTTTAGTGCGCGAATGTTGTCGCATAAATAAAAATATAATTGAGTTGCCTCTCGGAGCGTGTGGAAGGCATGTGTGTGTGTGTGTGTGTGCGGACAATATTGATTTTGGGTCAAAAGGCCCTCTGCTCTGTTGCCCAACTAAATTAGCTGCTATTAATTGACCAATCGCTCAGTGCACACAATTTTTGTTGCTATTTTAACTGGCTACCGCACAGGGCTGCTTGTGGGGGGCGGGTTCGGCTTCGGTATTTAGTTGGTGCCAGGGATTCAGTTGATTAAACAGCTCGTCGCATTTGCTGAATGCATTTCATCCATTTTACAATTTAATTGCATTGGTAAAACTTTGTGACAAGCAACAAATTGCCAGGGCAACTTTTGCCCAAGCTTGTGCTCGTTGTTATCCCATCGGTAACAGCCACATAATTAAATTAAAATTTTTTGTTATAAAATTTGCTGTCACTGAACGGAAGCGCTGTGGTACTATGTTTATAAAGTTTTAAATATTTCTGGCGTGCTGGCACTGTTATATTTTAATTGCATTTATTGTTTTGATTTCATAATTGCTGGCTGCTCGTGATTGGTAACGTATTTCAACTATTTACCTTGGGAGGGTTTCAGTTTGAAAAATGGGAGAGATTATTAAAAAAGCAATATGATTTTTTATACGCGTTACTCGATGTGCCTTTGTCATCTCGCTCTTGTCGCCGCTTTGAAAATTGAGTAAAAATTGGAGACTTTTTATTACTTCTATCTAGAATATCATATAAGGCACATTAATTAGAATAATAGTATGGCTTAAGTTGGAGTTGTCTTAGTTGAATTTGTTATTTACTCGTTACTTGTCACTCGTTGTGCTTTCGCCATCTCGCTCTTGTCGATTCGCTGCAAAATGGTTCAGATTACATTTGGGTTTCGTTGAATTCGTTACTCTGTAGTCTAAGTAAGGCCACCTTACATATCCTGTGCGACTCGTTACTCGTTATTTGTCACTCGCTGTGCTTTCGCCGTCTCACTCTTGACGTTTCGTTGCAAAATGGTTCAGATTACATTTAGGTTTCGTTGAATTCGTTACTCTGTAGTCTAAGTAGGGCCCTCGATTATTATCTGTGCGACTCGTTACTCGTTACTTGTCACTCGCTGTGCTTTCGCCGTCTCACTCTTGACGTTTCGTTGCAAAATGGTTCAGATTACATTTAGGTTTCATTGAATTCGTTACTCTGTAGTCTAAGTATGGCCACCTAACATTTCCGGTGCGGCGCGTTACTCGTTACTTGCTACTCGCTGTGCTTTCGCCGTCTCGCTCTTGTCGTTAGTTGAAAAATGGTATAGTTTACCGATGGTTTTCGTTGAACTCGTTACTTTGTGGCTTATGCCCAGTGCTAAATTTATATACGAGCCGATGTGCACATGCTACTTTACCATTTGATAAAACTGGTACAATCTTCTCTTTAAAGTATTTAATTTTAGCATTTGGGTTTTCTGTCTCTGGTCTTGCATGAAGCACCTGCGCATCAATCACTTAACCATACAAAAATGGCACCACATACAAATCGCAATTAATTTTACCTATTCGTATATGTCTGCCCGCCCTTAGACTGTAAATGTGTATGCATTGTATAGATGCTTCTGTGTGTTCTTCTGATGCCCGGCGAGAATTTCTCCTGGTTACACTGGCCAAGGTTGCTGTGTTTGCATATGAAGGGGCTGAGGATTGTGAAGGGCGGCTGGATCTGCAGTTGCAGCTGGCAACTGGATACACGTCATCGCAGTCAGCCTCAGAGCAGTTTGTCTGCATGTTTGCTTGCATGTCAAATTCTCATTTCATTGAAATTGACAAATATTGACTAAGAACTTGGGTGCAATCAACGCTGGTTACGTTGGCGGCGACAAATGGGCGTGTGGTAGCAAGGAGACGCAAGCAGCCAGGACATTTGCGTGTACATATTTGCCTTGGCAATGCCAATGCTGCTGCTGAAAGTGAAACTCAAGTCAACGCATCCAACGAAAGTGAGCGACAGCTTAAAGCTGACTTTAAGGATCCATCAAAGATGCTGTGGCTGCCACGACAACAGACTACACAACTTTCAGGCCAATAAACTAAACTGTAAACGGGCACTCAAACCAAAACGGAGCTAGCTGAATAAGGCTCCAGCTGAAAATGTTAAGGCACCTGGCTGGTGGCAAGTCTTTGCTTTGATGCCAACCTTTCGGTTTTTGTGCAACAAACAAAACACCTGGGGAGCGAGTCAAAAAACAATTTACGCTCATTATCATTTCAGCATGTTGTATGCCCAAGTGTTTCAGATTGTTGAAAAGAGCTAGACAGTGAGCAAGCCAGAGTGAGAGAGAGGGAGAGAGATGGTAGAGGCAGCGGAAACCCTGATGAAGAAGTTTAAAACACATTGTTGCTGTTGCTGCTGCTGTTTTGGCCTTGTTGTAGTTGCTCATAAATGCGCCATGAATAAATTAACTCGCTGAAAAGCAAAAGCCAGTAACAGCGTTTGGATTTCATGCGAATGATAATAATAATTGAGGCAACAGCTACAACAATACACACAGACACACACACCCACACACTCTCATTGTCAAATAATAACAGTTTTGCAAGTTTACACTGCAAGAAATTTACCTGAAGCCGCTTTGTGGCAGCTTAAAGTTTTACTTCTTACCCTTATAGCAGCACTAAAGCTTTTCAGCTGAAACTTTCGCTTTTCACGTAAAAGTCTTTCTTGAGCACATGATTTTTAAGCTGCATAGCTCTTTAGCACTTAACCATGCCATTTCGAATTTATAAAATTTTTATTAGTATTCATATGATTAAAATCTTGTTGGACCTAATAAATGAGAGTCTGCTCTCATTTACTAGGTCCGTCGCACAGTATTGCACACAATCTTTAATTACGCCTCTCTAAACGATTCTCATCAATTCTGGTGAGGCATATGGATTGTGTTGTCTTCAGTGTTGATGATATTTTCTTATCTGAGTCATCCTTTGTATGTTTTCCCAAGTTAATATATTTTTGGTTATTAGCATAATCGCAGTTCTTCCAGTTCCTTAACTTTCCTTAATACCGCCTCTCTATGCTATTTTCATGAATTCTAGTATGGCTTATATGTCTTATTGTTTTAAGTGCTTGTGGTATTTTTCTACCTGAGCCTCTCATTGTGTGTTTTTCTCGTGAATATATATTGTTTGTTTAATCAAGCCTATACAACAACCTATATACGAACTTTTATTTGAAAGCAGTCAACATTTCATAACCTAGCAACCGTTTTGTTTGCCTGTTACTAGACAACATTGTAAGTTTTTAGAAAGCAATAGCTTAGTCGATTGGTAGCTAAACCTAGCTGTGAGCTGATCTAAGCTCTGCCCACACATCATGCTAACTACCCGGACTTCGAGGCACACCTCGTTGGGTAATCCAAAGGCGCGGCTAACTCGCAACGCGAGGCAGCCATGCTTTACGCTGAAGCGTCCGCTGGTCTTTCAGGTGCGCAAATCGCTGGTGGAGTATGTGGACGATGAACTGCTTGCGATGGATACATCGGTGTTCTATCAGCGCATCTTCATACTGGCCAAGAATGTGGATCCCAAGCGTGAGAGCCTTCTGCCGCCCGCGGCATTGGAGAGCCGGGGCAGCACAGATACGGTTCGCTCAGCTATAGATGCAGACACAGCCACGTTGCGCACCGCCGAGGCAATAATGGCTGATGATGAACAACACTACTCGCAGCAAACCACGCCGGATGGCTCAGAGGCAAAGGAACCCCCTGATCAGCAAGCTGAGCGATTGACAGTTAAAATTATAGATCCATTGGATCCGGATGTGGAAACAGTGACGCGCACATTTCGATTTGACGAGGAGGATGAGGCACAAATAGAGGCAGAGGTGGAGGAGCATGCGCCCGAGCCAGAGGGGCCTGAGCAGCCCAAGGACAGGTTCACACTGTTCAGCGAGATGCTGCGGGAGCTGCACAAGAAATGCCGTAACCTCTCCTATACGCCCGATCCCATGTGCGGTCTAGTTATCTACATGAACGAATACACCATGATGATGCTGGAGAGCGGCGAGGATATGATGGGCATCTTTTGCCGTGAACTGTTGGACTGCGTCCATGAGTACTGGCAAAGTAATCGCGTCTTCCTAATTGAGGATCACATCAAAGAGGTGAGCAGCAGCAACCAGTTGCCTTCATCTGCCCAGCCTTAGATAACTGTTCCATTTGATAGCTCTACACCAAGGAATTGTTGTTCAGACGCATACCCGCTGCCTTTCTTAATGAGAAGTTTCCGCCATCAACGCCCACGGATGAATATCTGATGGGGAAGCAGCATTTAATTATTAAGGACAAACTGACTACCATTTGCACTCTGATAAGCGAAATCATGGACCCGCGCCGCACGACAGACGTGACAGCGCAAGGTTCAACTCTCCTGACAGACATGTCAGTGGCAACCGATATCTCCGAGATGGATGGTGGTGAAAGTGATGAGGAGCCAAGCATGCATCCCAGTCGTTCCAGCCGTTCCAGTCGCTCCCTGAACCAAGAGCAACGCTTGACTGTGACGATTTCGGAGACATTGCCAGCGGAGATTTTCCGGAAGCTGCTGCCGGAAATCCAACGAATTGAACTGGTGCTGTCCTCTACGCGCTTCTACTACACGCTCGAGGAATTCTGCGCGCTGTATGGCAAGGTGCCATTCGCACGCGACGAAGATGGCCTCTTCTGGCCCATACAGAATAACTACGCGCCACCAAACATCTTCCGGCGCACACCATTCGATATCAACCTGACCTTTGCGGACTATGCGGCCGAAATGAATCGACGCCTGCAGGAGGAGCAGGAGCAAAATAAGGCCGAGCTGGAAGCAGCTGCTGCGGCTGAGGCGAGTGCCGCGGCACAGTCCGAGCCACAGGCACGGCCGAAGCACAAAGAGGAGGAGCCAAACGATTGATATAATCGACAGCATATAAGTAATTTGTTTTTGTTTGAAAATTCTTTTAGTTCGTTTTTGTTTGTGGTTGCAAGAAATTGCGCTCAGTGTAGACACATCATTGGATATTATCAACAAGAGTCGTTGTCGCTCTTATCTATCAAAACTCGCGTTCGGTTACAAAGTTTTCGCTCCTGTGCACATGACTGCATTCAATGGGTAGGCGGTGGCTCGCTGACTGAAGGTGGTGGTGTGGTGTCTTCAATGGAGCCGCGGCTCGGCTGTGGCTGCTTACTTGTTTTGGCTTGCCACTTGAATGGCTCGACTCTGTTAACATAAACATAAATTTGTGCACATCCTTAAGAAGACAAACACACACAGACACACTAATACACATTAATACACATGTGCTGTGGGCTTGGGCTCTTAACATAAACCGCAACAGACGCCAGCTGTCAGTTCTAATACCGTTAGCTTGCAGCTGTCAAAAGCTGTTGCTGTCATTTTAAGTCACTTGACAGTCCAAAAGGCAAATATTCCAGCACACACACACACACACCACATAAGCAGCCCACATGCACATAATTATAGCTGCTCAAAATTTGGTTTTACAGCATTCAAGTGTAAGGCTTAAAATTCCCAACTCCTTTTGGCATAAATAATATTCAAATTATATATATGGTACTAGCTTTAGTTTTGTGGCTGCAAATGTAATAAAGCTTAGAATGGAGCGGCAAACGTGTTTAGAAATTGAGCTAAAAAGTTAATTAAACTTTTAGGTGAGCTGCAAAGTTGTTTAACACGCACACGAGCTGCCAGTCGGCTGCTGCAGGACATGCGCTGACAAGGACACAATTCAATCAAGCGCCACAGCAGCAGCAGCAGCAGTGGCAGGGGCAATGGCAGCAACAACGAGTGTCAGCGCATAAACAAGGACATTGCACTCCAGGGTGCTGCTGCCTGAAAGCGCTCGAACGCGAGAGAACGAGAGCACGAGAGCAAAGCCAAACATTTGCCACTGCAGTTTTCATAAACTGCCGGGCAGCAGCAACAACAGCAACAACAACAACTACATGACACAGCAGAGACAATGGCGATAAGCCGCTGCAGTGCAGCAGGAAAGGACGAAAGTGCATGCTGCCACCGTGTGGCCCACAACTTGAGGCGCAAACTCATAAATTACAGGAGTGGAGCCCGAAAAAAAGCAGCTCAAATGACTTTTGGCTTTTTGTGTGTGTGTCTGTGTATGTGTGTGTGTGTGTTTGCTGCAGTCACTTTAGGGGCGCTTGGGCGTGGCCAAGTTTAGCGCAGCGTTGACCCTGCCAGCCATGTTGTCTGGCATGCCAAAGGCCAGGCATAATTCGAGCCAAACTCAATTTGTTTGTAATATTTGAGAGAACAGCAACGTCAGCAGCAACTAAATAATATGAATACATATATATATAAATATATTTGTGTACATGGCACAAAAACAATTTTGGGCAATTTTGCAACGCGCTAAACGAATCTGAACATTTTTGCAGCCACCAAACAACAAAAGTAACAAAAGTAGAGGCAAAACAGAGGCACAACCGGAGCAGCAAGAACATCACGTCCAGCTGCCATTTGCCACAAAAAGGATTACGAAAAACGGCAGCCAAGTCTTTGTGTGTAGAGCATAACATATAAATTTGAGATTTGTTGTTAAGAGACAAATAGCACTGAAAGGGATAACAAACAGGATGAAATAACAGAGGATAGACTTCTTTTATTAAAGCTTGCAAGCAGCAAAATAGCTTTAAGAGAGGTAGTTAGAGAAAGAAGAGAAAGAGAGAGAGAGAGATGCGCAACGTGTGGGAATTCTCTTTAATATGCTACATTTAAAGAACTGAAAATGTTGTAGAAGTTTTTGCTGTTTTGTTTCACAGTTCGAACCAGTTCGCAGGTTCGATTCGACTTGTAAAGCTAATTTTTATTCATTCCTTCTTGAGTCCGAGTTAGACTACAATATATTGTCTAATTTCAAATGAAGTAATTTAATTTCTTATTGAGAATTGCCTGTTGTACTGAAAATATTGCCAGTCTTAAATATTTTCATATACAAGATGCGGGCTACATTTGAGCTCTACCCAAAGTTGTCAGCTACCAAATATAGTTGGTTGTGTGCAATAGCTGGGACCAAAGTTTGAGTACTTCTCAAACATTTTTTATGTTTAACAAAACTCTTTCGAAAAAAATATTGCTTAATACGGATTTCGGTTCGAGCAACTGGTTTGGCTTAGGATTTTGTTTATAGTAAAAAATGAATTAGAATTTCAAGTATCAGCCCGCTTTGAGCCTTAAACATGTTTGCTGCTTGTCGTAAATTCATAGTTTCCAAAAATACTTATGCAAATCTAAACCTTGCATAAAAATACAAGTTAATGCCCCACAAATTATGCCCAAGTCAGCAATATAATATCTTCTAAGAATAAAATATTTGCACAGCTTGTCATATCTTCTCGAAAGAGCAATATAAATAAGCTGCAAATTAATAATAAATAATCAAAATAACAACCAAACTTGACTTTGGTGTGCGGCATGTAAAAACAAATTCAATTAGGGCAATGGCCACAAATCATTTAAAAATTCATAAGAGGCTAAGACGCATAACTTTGAACTTGGCAGCACCTCAGGGTATGCTTTAAGCAATTTTATGATAAAAAGTTATTGACTTTATATATACTATATACAGGATTTATGTATAGATCTTATAAGTTCAGACACACTGAAGGCATGACTGGGCCTTAAATGAAATTAAATGCAGCGCTGTTGCGCTTAAGCCCAAAACAATCAGCTATAGGCCAAAAAGTTGGGCCATTAAATTTGTCTAAGCTCTGCGATAAATATGAAAAATTAAATTTAATATACCCCACACACACACACACACGCGCACACACACACACGCGCGCGCGCGCGCAATGAAAGAGGAACAAGTCGAGTGAAATTAAGCGCAAAAGAGCAGTGCAAATGGCTGGAAAACACGAAGCGGCTAACTGAAAAGAGACGGCAGGAAAAAACAACACCAGAGGATAACATACTATATTTACGGCAACATTTATGTGCCCGACTGACAGTTGCGTCCGTCCTGTGTCCTGTGTCCTGCGTCCTGCGTCTATTTGGCCTTGACGCCAAGACCGGAACTTGTGCGCCTTTCAAATGCTGCAGCCGCAAAATGTGTGCGACTCGTGAATTTCTCTGTCGGGGCGCATTTAATTTCAAGCACTAAGCTGGTGTCATGTGTGTGGTTGTCTGTGTCTGTGTGTGCGTGCGTGTGTGTGTGCCTAAATTAGACTACATGCATAGATCCTTTCCCTTTATTATTCTTTATCTTGATGCTGTCTGCCCTTCCCTTTTTTTTTTTTGCACTTTAACTCATATTTATTATCGCGCTGGTTTTTGGTTTCCTGCTTTCTGTGAAAGCCTAAAACGGCCGGAAAATGTGTGCATGTGTGTGTGCGTGTGAGTGTGTGCGTGTCCTTTTTGGCCCATTCCATTTTCCCATTCCGCTTGTTTATTATGTGATTATGCTTGAGTTTAGCGCCAGCAGTGCGGGGAGTTTCATTTTCAATTTTTTTCATTCTATTTTTTTTTTTTGAGTTCTGTTCCGGATATTTTTGTTCGCTGGCCGGCGGCTGGATTTGGCCTTTCGCCTGCCCTGTTTATGTTTTTAAAACGCAAACGACCCAAGCCTCCTCACACTTTGTTATTGTGCTCCCCCCTGGATTGTTGTTGTTGTTGTTGCGGCTGTCAGTCTGTCTGACTTGTAAATTACGTGGGTCAGGGGTCGCCGTCGCCGTCGCCGCCGCCGTCGACATCGTTACAAATTACATTGTTACCAATGTTGTTTCTCTCTGCTATTGTTGTTGTTGTTGCTGTTGCTGTTGGTTTTGGCTTTCAGGACACTGACAAGCTGCGCCCTGTGACATTTTTGAAATACTCCCACGACTGTGGCGGCACTTGACTTGCAGTTGAAAACATGATAAATTGGAGTTAAGGCTTTAAAGGCATCCGGCGACTGCTAACTTAATCAGCAGGTTAAAGCTCTCGTTAGGGAATTGAGTTTTAATTTCTGGCCGTGGGGCGCAAGAATTTCTTTTTGATTCTGGCTCACATAACTGCAAAGGGAATTCGTTAAGTTACATGGAGAAGAATTCCAAACATGTTATTTGACTGTAGATTTGACAGTTCTATTGCGAATAGGTTCAATTGTGCGGAAACGTGTGGGCTTTTAACTTGAATTGCTCTCAAAGCAGGCATTCCACAAATAATATTATGTTGGAATGCTGTCAAATACACATCAAGTGCTTCAACTAATGTTAGATTTAATTATATATATGCCAAAGAGCTTGACAAACAAATAAACAAACCAACTTACACAGCCCGACATGTACGTGCGTGTGTGTGCGCGTGTGTGTACTTGTGTGTGCACATGTTGTTGTGCAGCATTTGCCAAAGTAAACAACTACAGCAGCAGCAGCCGTTAAAAAGCATTTCCAAGTCAAGCACAGCGGGCGAGCTGAGGATTGGTGCGGGGCAGCATTTCGCATTGTTTGGAGTAAAGTTTGACGCAGTTTTTCGCTGTTGGGTGAAATGCTCACAAAACAGCGCGAGTAATTAACTGACTTGTCACATAAGCCGCATTAACACAATGTCACAAATGTCCTTGCAGCAGCCCTGCCCTGCCCCTGCCCCTGCCTCTGACCCTGCATGTCAGCGGCATTACGATTACGTACGGTGTATGTCTGTGCCACATGTGGCACATTTACATGCATATGCAATGTGCTCCCCGCTGGCTTATTAATTCTACTCTGGGCGTGGCACGTGACTTTGCCACGCCCACAACTGGAATCGACTGCAGAACTTTAACTGAAAAGTTCTTTGTGTCTCCTGCAAATCCTTTGCGATCCTCCCAACTAATATCCAACGTATTTAGTGCTGCCTGAAAAAGAAAAAGTCTTTAAGCTTAATAATAAGTATAAATAATAATAATAATTATAATGATGAAGAAATGTGCTCTGTTTATATGGTCAACTGCCCTGTTAATTAAATCAGCCTGTGAGCCGCGATGAATTGAGTTAATTTACAAATCCAATGCCCGCCAATGCCGCAAATTATCATCAATATTTTCTGTGGTCGTGCAAATTGAGCGAGGAAAAATGACAAAAACAACAAAACAATAAAAAAAAAAAGAAAAACTACCGGAATGCCTTTTGATTTAATTTTGCGGCTGGCGGCCATGGTGACAAGCGATATGGAAAAACAGAGTGAAAGAAATATTAAATTTAAATTAATGCAAATATCCGGCATATTGTCTGCAGCACGGGGCGTATGCGTGCTCGCTGTCAAGTATGTAAAGTGCAAAGGGATGGCACACAAAGTACAAGGATTGAAAATAAAATGTGATTTTTTTTTTTACAAAAATCACAAATAAATACGTCAAATATGCATAAATTAATAAATGCCAGAAATTGCTTAAGTTTCGGTATTTGCGAGCATTTTATCTCTGGCTTGCCACGGGGCGTATGCGTAATTGCTGCACCATGTTAAAAGCAAATAGAGCTACGCGTTTATTGACACGTGCCGAGCACGTGCTTTATTTTGTTTTGTTTATCAACTGAAAGATTGCTATTTCATTGAATATTGCAAAACTCATATTGTTATACATTTTTCATAAATCAACAATAAAACGAAATTATTTTTAACACATTTCGAGGGAG